ATTTAACCTACAGGATTGTTGTCTCCAAATCAAATGTGCCCTTCACCCCCATGAAATCAATGAAATCAGCCTGGAAATGATGCTTTGGGCCCCTGCAAGAGGTTGGGGTAACAGGGACTTGGAAACAGGCCTTATGACTGTCCTGTCCTTTTGGAATACTTACCCTCTAACCATTATTTTGCATGTATTCTGGCATTTTCTTATTTATTTATATAGAGGCAACAAGCTTAGGTGAAATTTATTAAACCATTCCAACTAGTTAACTTGAATATTGTTATCCGCATTCTATACGGCTTCCTAAACATAGTGGTTTATTTATTTGTGTGTGTGTGTGTGTGTGTAAAATATGATGCATGTTAGCCAAACTATGGTAATCCAATTTTTAAATTCATGACTATTTTTGTTAAGTATCCTATTTATTATTTCTCCGAAAATGTCCTTCCTGTGTTCAAATTTTAGAGTCCTTTCCTAGACTTCTAACCTGCCTTTATTCACTAGTTTCAACAATTCAGGCTAAAATTTGTACAGGCTTGTTTATACTTAAGCTGCAAAGGCACAAATGAGAGCAAGGATGTAAATATGAGCATGAAAGCGAGATCTGTGCAAGATCTCTCTCCAGTCCATCTCAGATCCTATTAAAAAAAACTACTCCAGGAATCAGTTTGATTCAGTCAACAGTGTAGTTATAAACAGTAGAAGTTCAGCACACATCAGTGCCCAAAAAGTGCCTTTGACACCTATTCAAATTTACGTACATGTAAACTGCCCCATCGCAGACATCTATGCTCAGTGCCAGGTTACAGGCAGGGAACAGGACTTCATCTTCAGCAAATAAAGACCATTGGTCTTGGAAGACCCTTTCTTCCAAAAAGACAGGAAGGATTACAGTTCTTTCATACTTACATTAACTTGCACCTTTGGCATATCAGCAGATCTTTCAGTCCCTGCAGTGTTTGCTGTATTAAGGGTTACATTCTGGGGGATTTGTCCATTTGCATGAGTGCTACCTATAATAATACAACAAAGAAGAAAGAAGTTTGCTTATGCCAGTCAAAAATAATTAAATTTAAGCAAAAAAAAAAAAAATCT